AGGGGGGAGTATTAAAGCTCTGCTTAAATGACATGGAACAAACACTTTCTAAGGGATACAGGTGCCATCTGCAGTTTAATTTGAGAACCGGTTCTAAATGGTAAAATATTCTACCTCATCTTTACTTAAGATCTCACACTGCCCAAGTTCCTCCCCCTAAACATCTAGGTATGCCTCGCTCTGTCAGAGGATCAGATTCCCCTCCTCACCTCACCTTTTCTACCTAGGAAGTCTTTATCTAAGAGATCAAAGATATATAAATCCTCAATACATGAGGAACTTCTAGATACTGGATAATTATTTTTCATAAAACTGATTAGCACTCAGAATGCAAATAATATAATAAAGTTTACTGTTTTTGATAAGGAGGTTCTCACCAGGGACAATGTGGAAAGGATCCCCTGAGTTCTCTTGGCTGAATCCTGTGCTCTAGTGAAGAGAATTTTCCCACTAGCTGGGAACAGAAAAAATTACATTCACAGGTTCTCAACTCTGGCCCATCCACATGCTGAGATTCCAGGAGGAAGTTTTAAAAAGTTCCACAGATTTATTGCAACAGTGTATACTATATCCTTGGGAAACATTCTCTGGTGATAGAAAAAAAGGCTTTGTGATTGCTTCGTCTGGACTGCATGCTGGTGTTGATTCATGGACACATATCACCCATGGGACGGTTTATTAAAGAGAAGAGTGAGGACACAAAGTGGAATCAGAGGTCTCCTTTCCCCCTTATTTTCTGGCCCAACTATGGTTTATATATTGAAGTCCCAGGGAATTGGAGAATTTACTTACTATAGGGATTGTTAATTTATTCCCAAGGAGTCAAATATAATGTGTGTGTGAGTGTCTGAGTGGGAGTGTAGAGATACACATGTGTATCATTAAAACTGGCACCTCGGGGAGTTTACATGTAGGAAGGAACAGCTTCATATGGTTCTACCACATTATGTCAGGGAAGTAACACTGTGAGTGGGCGTGAGAGAAGTCTGTAACTACTAAAAAGTTAAATCCTTCAAGAAATAAAACACAGAGGTTAGAACTTGACTGCGACTCACAGTTCCAGATGAAATTAATTTTTTTTAAAGATTTTATTTATTTGACAAAGAGAGAGACACAGCGAGAGAGGGAACACAAGCAGGGGGAGTGGGAGAGGGAGAAGCAGGACTCCCACGGAGCAGAGAGCCCGATGCGGGGCTCGATCGCAGGACCCCAGGATCATAGCCTGGGCCGAAGGCAGATGCTTAACGACTGAGCCACCCAGGTGCCCCTGATATTAAATTTTAATATGGGTACAAGCCTAAAAATTAATTCAATTTTTTCTCCTTCCCACTAATGTCGATTACCTATATTTGGAATTTATATTTGATGGTAGAATAACATATATTTATTATATACACAGGAATATTATTACAACCTATTGTATTATGATTGGATTATCACAATCGATTCATATGGTGAGGTACAGACAAAGCATCTGAAAAAGGGAATTAGTGGTGGGAATAAATTTCAGAGGGACTAATGAGAAATTTCTGGCTAACAGATAAAGAATGGCATATAAAGGGCTTATACCACCTGCGAAAGGTCTGTGGGCATGTTATCATTATTCCAATCCATTTAAACCAGGAAAATTGAAACCATTATATAACATATAATTATATTCATACTTATTTTTTCCCATTTTTTCTGCCCAATTAAAAGTCTTATAAGTAAAGAGATGGAAAAATAATGATTTTCAGATTTGTGTACTGTATTTTATTTTTATTTTTTTAATTTTTTAAAAGATTTTATTTATTCATTCAAGACACAGAGATACAGAGAGAGAGAGAGAGAGAGCACGAGCAGGGGGAGAGGCAGAGGGAGAAGCAGAGGGAGAAGCAGGCTCCCCGCTGAGCCAGGAGCCGGACGTGGGGCTCGATCCCAGGACCCTGGAATCATGACCTGAGTCGAAGGCAGATGCTTAACCATCTGAGCCACCCAGGCGCCCCTGGGTGGTTTTAAAGTGTATCATATATTCCACACAATGCTAATAACTGTCTAAAGTGATCATGAAGAAATGACAAAAAAATCATACTGAGTAATTCACACTAGTAGTCACTTTCACAGACATTATTCATGTTTGATCCTCACACGAATTCAATGAAGGCAGAAGTGATGCTATATGACTTTGAGTCAAGGTCATTAAAACGCCATATATTTCTCTTTGTACCCTTAGGATGTTTGCTTTCAACCAAGCCACTACACTGTGAGGAATCAAAGTGGTCACATGGATAGGACACCTGTAGGTATTCGGACTAGGACCCCAAGGGAGAACCAAGCAACCACCAGATATGCGAGTAAGTGAGGTGGCTTCAGATGATTGTGGCCTCCAGCCTTCAAGTCATCTCCAGCCTTGAGCCATCCCAGCTGAAGGCACACGTAGTGAGAGATGAGTTGTCCACACAAAGCCATGCTCAAGCTTCCTGAACAGAATGAATGGTGATTGTTGTTTCAACACTAACCACTGTGTGGGAAGTTTTGTTATAAAACAATAGATAACTGGAATATAGGTACCACTATCCATATTTTTACAAAGGAGACAACAGCACAGTCTTGGCTAACCCAGTATCATGTAGCTGAATATGTCAGAACCAAGGAGAATATCCAGGTCACTTAATCTCAAGTCTAGTGCTCTTTGCTCTATACCACAAATGATTAATAAATAAAGCATGTTTTACTGCAATCAATAACTCACAAATTGTGAATTGTCCCTTATAAATATTGACATATTTTTCATTTTTATTGACTTGCTGAAGTCTACTAATGCTGTAAAAATTGGAAAATCCACTGGCTATTCTAGCCATATACATTAGTGATTCAAATACAATTAAGGTGAATCTGCCAGAGATGATGAAAACAAGGTTATAATAAAAGAACGATAGAAACTAAAAACTAACGATCTATAAATTACTCTTCAAAATTTAAAAATTGACTTGTTTTGTCATTGTTTCTGGAGATTTCCTCTGATCCTTTCTTATCTTTGTCCATTTTCGTGTCTCCTGAACACTCAAGAGTCCCCTTTAATATTTCTTGCAGGGCTGGTTTAGTGGTCATGAGCTTCTTTAGTTTTTGTCTGGGAAACTCTTTATCTTTCCTTACATTCTGGTGATAGCTTTGCTGGATAGAGTATTCTTGGCTGCAGATTCTTCCCATTCACCACTTTGAATATATCATGCCACTCCCTTCTGGCTTGCCAAGTTTGTTGAGAAGTCTCCAGCTAGCCTTATGGGTTTTCCCTTGTAAGTTAAGGACTTCTTTTGTCTTGCTGCATTTAATATTTTTTCATCGCTATATTTTGCAAATGTAATTACAGTATGTCTTGGTGTTGGCCTGCTTTTGTTGATTTTCATGGGAGCTCTCTGTGCCTCCTGGATCTGGATGACTGTTTCCTTCCCCAGATTAGCGAAGTTTTCTGCTATTATTTCTTGAAATAAATTTTCTGCTCCATTTTCTTTCTCTTCTTCTTCTGGGACTCCAATAATATGAATATTACTACATATAATAGAGTCACTGATTCCCTAAGTCTATTCTCGTGTTGTATAATTCTTTCTCTCTCTTGTTCAGCCTCATTATTTTCCATTATTTTGTCTTCTAGGTCACTAATTCATTCCTCTGATTTTTCCAGCCTGTTGTTCATTGCATCATGCCTGTTTCCAATCTCGTTTATTACATTCTTCATCTCTGATTCTTTTTTAATTCTTTCATCTCTGTTGTAAAGGTCCAAATGGCAATAAATACATATCTATCAATAATAACTTTCAATGTAAGTGGAATAAACGCTCCAATCAAAAGACACAGGGTGTCAGAATAGATTAAAAAAACAAAACCCATCTATATGCTGCCTATAAGAGACCCATTTTAGACCTAAAGACACCTGCAGATTGAAAGTGATGGGATGGAGAAATATTTATCATGCAAATGGATGTCAAAAGAAAGTCACAGTAGCAATACTTATATTGGACAAACTAGAATTTTTTGTTCTTGTATTGTTTTTGTCCTGCATTGGTATCAGGGTAGTAATGGCCTCATGGAATGATTTTGAATATATTTCCTCTATTCCTAGGGGAATTATTTGTAAGATTTGTAAGATTTTGATAAAACTGTCATTAATATTTGGTAGAATTCACCAATGAAACCATGTGGTCTTTGGCTTTTCTGTGTTGGGAGATTTTTGATTCCTAATCAACTTTCATTCTTGTTATTGGTCTAAGGAGATTTCCTACTTCATGGATTCAAAATTCATGATTCAATATTGGTAACTTGTGCATTTTTAGGAATTATCTGGGTTTTTTTTTATAAGTTTGCTTATGGTAACATGTTATCACGTTCTATATTTCTGTGGTTATCTGTTGTATAATTTTCTCCTCCATTTCTTTTTGGTTTTTGAATCTTCTCTCTTTTTTCTTAGTTAAAGCATTGCCAATTTTGTTTTTTATTTTATTCTTTTGAAAAATTGGTCACTACTTTTCAATGTTATGTTATTGTTTATTCTGGTCTCTATTTTATTTAATTCTGATTTTTCTTTGTTATTTTCTTCCTCTACTAAATTTCAGCTAAGTTCCTTCTTTTTCTAGTTCCTTGTGGTGTAACATTGTTTATTTGAACTTTTTTCTTAATACAAGCATTTATAGCATAAATTTCATTCTAACATCTGCTTTGGCTGCATCCCACAGATTTTAGAATATTGTGTTTTCTTTTTCTTATGTATTGAGACATATTTTGATTTGCTGTTGGATTTCCTATTTGGCCCACTGTCTGCGCAGTAGTGTGTTATTTAATATTTACATATGAAATATTTGATATTTTAAAAAATTCAAAAAATGAATATAAATCAAACTCATTTTTTAAATATTAGTACTTAATGACTAATCATAGGTCAATTATCAAATGGCCTGTTTGTTAGCCTTAACTTAAATAAGTTTGAAAATCAGACTTGGTTAAAGGAGACAATGATTAACACTTACTCTCTTTCTTTCCATAAAATTTTTTGGAACTCATCCAGATGCACCTGCGAAGCTGAAATTTCAGGCACTTCACTCTCCAAAGGCAGGGTCATTGCCTGTAGTCTTAATGCAGATTTCAGTGTACAGTTGTCAGAACCACTATTCTTGAATGAATCAGGACAGTTAAGATTGAGTTTCATCTCCTCATTTAACCTTAACTGGTCAATAATCAAAACTTCTTCCTGAAAAGAAAAAAAAAATAAAACAATTATTGTTAATTTCTTTAAGTCTAGAGCAGAAAAATCATGAAGAAAACATATTTTTGGAAGGAGATGTTATGATTCAGCATCAAATTCCTATTTTCATTTCTTTATCAGTCTTTAAGAGGTATATGACTGAACTTTAACTTGCATTCCTCAAGATTTTTTTTTCTTCTATGTCCTACATTATAGTGAGATACATTTCAGTCTTTGAAAATTTTTCATTTACAATGGAATCTAGGTTATATCGATTATAAATCCCATACACCATAGAAAGACTTAAAATTTTAGATGGAATTTATAGAGGAGCAAGATATGCTTTACACTTTTAGAGGTGGAATTAAATAGAAAGGAGTAACAATAATAACTGATATTATTTAAAGAGATAAAATGAATTCCTAAAGTTTCTGAAAGTATGTTCCATGGGTTGTTAACAGTATTTACCAGGTTAAAAAAAAATGGATAAATAAGATTATGAACTGCTATATAAAATAAAGTTTTTAAAAAGTTTATTTGGTGCAGAATTCTCAAAAAGTTCAAGATTCCAAGAATACCAAGAAATTCCAAGAGTGGATAATGTGAAGCATTCCATAAAGGTATTTGCCAATGGTACCCATTTTACAGGAATTAATTGTGAGGCCAAAGTCCCAAACCTTGGGAAATGTTTAAACTACTGTAAGAATAATTTATTATTATTGTCATAATTAGGGTAAATGGAGAGAAATCTCTCTAAATAATTTATTTTCACATAAAAAATGCTGAGTTACTTTTTCTTAAAACTATTACTAAGATCAATAATATGGGCTACTGAATTGTGTCTTACCCTGCCCCCAGTACCTTAGAATGACACTGTATTTGATGTAGGGTCTTTAGAGAGGTCATCCAGTTAAAATGAGGTCATGATGGTGGGCCTAGAGATGGTTTCTTTACAAGGAAATTTGGAGATAAACACAGAGAAAAGATGACGTGAAGACACAGGGTGAAGATGACCATTTCTAGGCCAAGGAGAGGTCTCCAGAGAAACCAAACCTGCCAACACCTTGATCTCACACTTATAGCCTCTAGAACTATGAGAAAATAAATTTCTGTTGCTGAAGCCACCCAGTCTGTGGTACGTAGTTATGGCAGCCCAAGCAAACCCAGTCACTACTGGGTTTGCCATTTTCCCTTTCCTCCCCAATACCGTACACAGCATTCAAATACAATCATGATCTCTGGATTCTTCTGCCAAGTTCTTCTCTTACCTTCCTATCTGCGTTGTCCTTTGTAGGAAATTCTCTTCTCACCGGACATTCTCTGATAGACTTACATGTCTGTGAACCAATTTGAAACTGGTCTCCTGGTGCAGATGGCACTTTTATGAAACTAGGATGCTTCAGGTCCTGGGTGGTTTCTAACACCTTTTGATGTGGCAAACTTTGTTTCTTTTTCAATGCACTCAATTCCTTCATTGTCATCTCTAATTTTATTCTGAGCTGTCTTCCCTCCTCCCTGGCGCTGTTCCTTTCAGCCCGAACTTTGCTCCACTTTTCTCTCCAGTTGGCAGTGCAGTCTGACCACCACCGCATGGTCTTCTCCATCTGGGCAGCTCTGGATTTGACTTCCTCAAGTTCCCGCAGGAGAAGCTCTTCACAAATATTCCACTCACTGGTGTTGCATGAGTGCACACAGACGTTGTGAGCGGCATGTGATTGCAGCCCCTGAAGTGGCAAACAGGAATGACAAGTGTCCCTGGGGGGGGAAGCAGGTGCTACCGTGTCACAAGGTGCTTTTATTGATGACTGTGGCATCTGGAAGATTTGTGTTTCCTCAGTTAACTGATGGATGGAATCTAAATTCATATTTATCTTTTCAGGTTGAAGAAAAGACAGAGAACATAATTAACATTGGAGTTTCCCTTGCAATTATAACAGCAAGACCTACATTTGAAAAACAAGGTTGACAAAAAACAATGTATCTTTAATGTTGCATATTTTCCTTTCCACTGTAACTAAAAGTATGGAAGAACTTATGCATTTGTAACTACCCTCAAAAAACCAGAAATTGATATTACATTTTGCCAAATGGATACAAACAAACATATAAAGATGCAATTGGGGATAGCATATGATGTGTAACAAATCCAATTCTTTTCAGGTAATATTTACTATAATATATATTGTCCATTAACTACTCAGTGATCCTCTTCTCCCTGCTAACTCAAGCACAACCTGTTTAAGTGGAAGGCGGAATCTGCTGATCTCTGGGAGGATAAGCCCCTATCCTAATCCCAGGGGCTAAATCCTAATTGGTCTAACTCGTCCACGATGGCCTCCACTTCACTGACCATTCACTAGTCTCAAGGCAGCACAGGAACTGGTTCTGGCTGAGATTTCAGGGGAAATCTGCTGGGAAAGTTTCCCAGCTAAAAAACATGAAAAAAATCACAAGATGAGAACCTCTTTTCTTCTGCTTTCTTCCTGCCTAAACCAAGACATGATTCTGGAAGAAGGCAAGTGTAACAGCCACCATATAATATTTAAAATGGTGGAACAGAAAGAGGAAAAGAGCCTGATTTAATGACTGAGTTGTGGCATGAAATCTAGATGCATACCTCTGGTTTTCTTGCCATGTGAGAATGATTACCTAACTTTATTTAAGGTGTGGTTGTTGAGTTTTCTGTCACTTGCAGTCAAAATGACATCAGACTGATACATGAAATATTCTCATCCCATGGTTAATATTATGATAAATTTAAGAAAATATATTATGAATAAGACATGGTATTTGTCTTAAAGATTTTGTAGTTCAGTGGATGAGACAAGCACATAAAAATTAAAAATACATATTCACACTGTAAAATATATTTATTTATTCCATCAGTCTTTTTTAGTACATATTATGTGTCAAGTCAGTGCTAAGTTGCTAAGGTATGTAGGAGGTACTGTAAGGAGCACTGCTCAAGAAGTGATGAACTGTCTCCTAGAAATGAAGAGGCTTCCCGGCATAGATAACTCTGAGGAGTCTTAGCAATTTCAAAGCTTTATAAAGGAATTACAAGCCACTTTCCATATAAATAACAAAGACTAACTGGTAAAAGCAGACCTATTTATCAGTATGTATACCCATTACTTTATTCAACATAGCTATATCGATGACAGCAAGTAGATCCTTTTCTTTAAAATAAACACTTAAAACATGCAGGGACAAATGAAGCGGGGGAAATCGGAGGGGGAGACGAACCATGAGAGACTACAGACTCTGAAAAACAAACTGAGGGTTCTAGAGGGGAGGGGGGTGGGAGGATCGGTTAGCCTGGTGATGGGTATTAAGGAGGGCACGTTCTGCATGGAGCACTGGGTGTTATATGCAAACAATGAATCATGGAATACTACATCAAAAACTAAAGATGTAATGTATGGTGATTAACAAAATATAATAAAAAAATAGAAAAAAACATGCAGGTTAATCTGCAAATTAATAAAGTTCTGTGGTTATATAAGATTACCCATTTTTACTATCAAATAAGATTTACTGGTATAAATAACATCTTAATGTACATGACATTAATTCCTCTCATATTTTATTTGCTTTCATATAGTTACAGATCATAAACCGTCTCCTTACGAACCATCCATTTAATCAACTGAAGGGGTTTCATTATACTAACAACTTAAAAAATGAGGGTTTTTTTCTCTTTAAGGTTTATTTATTTATTTATTTTGGAGAGAAGGAGAACACAAATGGGGGAGGGGCAGAAGAAGAGGGAGAGAGAGAATTCTCAAGCAGACTGCCCTCTGGGCACGGAGCCTGGTGTGGGGCTTGATCCCAGGACCCTGAGATCGTGACCTGAGTCAAAATCAAGAGTCGGCCGCTTAACCGACTGAGCCATCCAGGCGCCCCCAGAATAAATCTTTATATGCTAACTTACAAAATAAGTCTTTACTGAAAAAAAAAAAAAACACATAATATTAAATGTATATCACTTTCGAGTTGTAAGAAAAAAACACATTTTAACAAGTGTTCTGTAGAGGTGCCAAACCAATTCACTCTTATTATAACACTTATAATAATATAGATTCATGCTTGTAATTATTGTTGTTAGCATTGGTACATGTCCACGCGCATCTGAATTAGTGCTGATTTGGAGCAATTGTTCCCTACATTTACTGCAATTCAGAGGGCAATGATAATACAGCTGGGCAAATTTCTAGGACCATTAGTAAACCGAGAAAAATATTAAAAAAGAAAATAAGGAACTCTTAGAAGCACACCATGTATTTTATGTATATGTTCACATATAATTAGACCTATATATGTGTGTGTGTGTGTATATATGTATATATTCATTATTCACTATTTAATGATATTTCTGATATTTCCTTTGGCTGGAATTCCAAAATAAAAACAGAAAACTTATTTTAGCATATTAAATTTAAATTTATCCTTGCCATTTTTCAAAATAAATCAGTATCATAAAATTATAATGTCTTTAAAATGTTTCATTAACTTTTATTTCACTATTGTTTTGAAGACTCTATAATTGGATTCTGGTATGTGGAGACCTTGCCTACCAATTAACTATGGATTTTTTCATATCTGACTAAACAAAATTGACTTGGGTTTAATCATTCAGTCCTTGAACTTGAATAGTTTTTCCTGTTCTAAAGTGTTTCTCAAGCAAGTGTAAATGGGCATATTGAATCCTTATGTGTATCTATTAAAGCACTCATTTCCCTATACATATGTGCATGTTCCTCATGTTTTATTTCAATGACTGTGAAAGTATTTGTCAGTGGTTGTAGCACAGAGCCTTTGATCCATGAGAAAATATTTTAATGCTATTGACTCTTTGGTTTCTTACTCTGAATTTTGCATTGCCCTTACCACAAAAAGGAGGGAGGGGGCACAAGGAAACTCTTGAAGGTGGTGGATATATTTATTACTTTGATTGTGGTGATGGGCTCCCAGGTGCATGTCTACACTCTAACTCATCAAATTATACACATTAAATATGTGCAATATTTTGTATCTACTACACTTCAGTAAAGCATTAAAATGTTCATACAATCAGGCTACCCTGATGACTACAAGTATTTTTAATGTCGTACCTAACCAAATAAATGAAGTATGATGGGTCTTCTCTATAAATACTACTACTAAACATTATTTCTCACGAAAGAGAAGTTTAATGTATAAGACACTGAGTTCCAGATTATACTGATTCAAGCTCTGGTTCTGTCACTTCCCACATAGATGGATCTTGGACAAATTACATAAATTGCCTTTGACTCATTATCCTTATCTGTAAGGGGGGACAGAAATATCACTGTACTTCAGTTAGTTCTTGTGACCATTAAATGGAAAAATGCCGCAGACTGGCTGGCCCAGGCTGTCACTTAGGTAAGGTGACAGTTTTCTTCAGTGCTAAACCAGGCACTAATATGTCACTTCGGACTGCTGTATCATTTTTCTTCAGTTTCTTTTCTCTCTTTTAAAAGAGAGATGGTATACTTACAAAAAAAAACAAGGATAGCAACAGATAAATGACATTTACCAAAAAGCTCTTCATTTCATGTAATAAAGGTAAAATCAATTTCGATATCATATTCATATTATTCAGTGAAATATTCAGTGCTATTATCTCCATCCTAGAAGAAACCAAGGCTTAGGGATCTAACGTAACCAGGCCAAGTCATACGCTTAGAAGGGGCCGACCCAGTTTGGGAATTAAGGAAATTTGAATCCAGAGCCACTGCCTCCCCGTAACAAAAGCCTACAACTTCAAAATACCTATATTCACAATAGTAAGATCATCTTTTAGGTTATTTCAGAAATGTATTCGGCAGATTTCCATTTCGGCCATGTTTATGCTACAGTATCTCCCACGAAATCACACCACAATTAGTCAAGTGATCCTGATATTGTGCTTTCAGTGAATTTCATCTCATCAGAGCCTAAACGAACTGCAAGTCTGGGGCTCGTAAATCCCCACAGGCTCCTCTCTGTCATCCTGCTTCCGTGCCCCTTGCTTTGGTCACCCTGATATGTCCATTCCCTGCACAAACCTCCCCTCAGCTTTCTCCTTTGAGCGATCAGATTGCTAAGCAAGACACTTTCCCCTCTCTCCCCACACTCACCTCCCCTTGGTTTCTCGTCCTTCAGGTTATCAGTTAGTGGGACCTATGCTTGACTCTCTCCATCTCTTACAGGCCTGACATCTGAGCAGAAAGTTTACATTGGGCTTCTTCTATGATAGTGAATAAAACAGACGTGGATTCTGCCATCCGGGGACCTTGTTAATAACCAAAAGCAATAAATCAAACTAAGACTCACAAAGTTTAACTCTCTTTGAAAGAAATAAACAGTATTGTGATTCAACACATACCTATATACTTAAAGAAGTCTCTCTGAAGTGACAGATGTCTTATGTATTATCTGAAGAATGAGGTGGACCAGAAATAAAAGCATTTTTGGCAGAAGTTATACTATCAGGGCAGAATCAAATAGGGTCCAAAGGGATTTTTGTTTTTATTGTTTATACTTCTTGCTTTCCATTAACCTATAGGAAATGAATTCTAAATGAAACCCTTCTTGGATTTTTTTCCCCTAAGAAGCATAGGACCGCTAATGCACACACAATAATGTTCATAAAAGCCATAAGCAAACAGTAAATAGATTAATACAGATTCAAAACATAGTGCTAAGGAACAGTTGTTACTTTAGATATGATGCCATACACTCTGATAAAACGTGAAAAAGAAAAATCAGTTTTTAATATTCAGAAAAGTAAAACACCATACTGTATTTTAAAGTGTGGCCCGTCAAACATGCACATGTGATTAGTATAATAAAAATGTGT